TGGTTACACATCGAATTTGGACCCAGGATTTTTACCACTTAAGCTTCAACGTCAGGGGGCCAACATATCAAAAATTCATATAAATATCTTTAGAACTCGATTTATCATGATTTTCGCAAAGTACAGCAGTACATACGATTTCAAAAATCCATATATCATAGCACAATCATCAAAATGACATAAGGCTTTCACTAACGGGTCAAGGACACACCAAAATACTCATAACTCCAGGATTTCCACGAAATTCAACCATGTCCTTCAGTTTCGACATCAAACCGATGAGACGGACACCAAAATGGCATTTTCTCATGAACACATATACTCAAATTATATAATCAAGCATGGACTTTAACATATCACATATAACACATATAAATAGAGGGGCTTTCAGCCATCAAGTGCTGTTCTCATGAAGTTCACACAAGGTGAAGTCAAGAAGGGTTGAACCGAGCTGTTCATGTGCGGGTACGGGTGCTTCGACGGCAATGCGCGTCTCGCTACCAACGCTACCGTATGGGGTGTTGCAGCGGAAACAGGGGCGCACTTCAACGTCCTTGGATGGGTTCAGGCCTGCTCGTTGTGAGGGGATGGACTGAGGGCGAACGGACAGCAACTGGTCAGCTCTTTGTGGCTGCCTTGCGTGCGGGATCATCTCGCGATGGCGCGTCGACGAGGAGGGATTAAGGGGGAGAGGTGCAGCGATGGATTTAGGGGAAGACAAAGGATTTTATTCTCTGTTTTTGTGTTAGAGAGGAGAGAACGAGGATTTTGATGTGGCGTAAAAAGAGAAGTAAGAGGGAGAGAAAAGTCGTGTCTTTTATGGAGAGAAAAGGAAGGAATCAATACTTACTTATTGAGGAGATTTTTCCTTGCTTAAAATCTGCACATGACCAAGCTTAAGTGGGGAATTGGCGTGCTTAAAGGGTTGGAGGACTCGGTCAAAAGTGTATCCAACACTTAACTCAATTTGAATTTTAAAAATCCAACGTATGACCATAATTTTAAAACCACAAGGGGCGGTTCAATTTTGAACAATAAGGGACCGGTTCAACTCATTTAGAAAGGGCCAAAGGCCGCTCAATAAGGGGCTGGTCGAGTTGGTTCGGAGTTTGGGTCACAATGGTTTGAATAAAAATTAAGACGGATACAATTTGGTTTACGCGATTAAACCGAAAATTCGAACAACGAACGATAAAATAAAATCGAACGACTTATAAAATTATATTATCCACATAATAATATAATTCTAAGCACATAATCAAGGCATATAAATAATAAAATAAAATGCCATTTACTAAAATAATTCGAAAAAAATTCAATATCCGAACGGGGCATTACACGGCCCATCAAGTCTGAATTCTCGGCCTTCATTGTTTAACCGGCCCGAGTTTTGAAGAAAAGCCTTTCCATCTTTGCTCCAAGTTTATTTCAAATTTCAAGAACCAACATGTCAATTTTTGGGTTTTAATTTTGGAACTATCACGTCTAATTACCTCAATTATTTTTTGCATGATGAAGATATATTTATATTTATCTCCTTCCCATTCCTCCTCGAGTCTTGGAGAGGAAGAAATCCTTTTATTAATATGGCAAGGATAAATCTTGATCTGCCTTAATCTCATAAAATCTTCCCTATTCTTTTCCCCAAGTTTCACGTTAATAATTTCCATCTTCCTTATCACTCCAACTAACGAGAGAAACCCAGCAGATATCACAAAACCAGAACGCCCATCTCACTCGTTTTCCTCTTCTTGACAATCATCTCTCTCTCTCTCTCTCTCTCTCTCTCTCTCTCTCTCTCTCTCGGCCAGACTCCTACAATCGTCGATCTTCTCGCCTCCGACCACTCGCAATAACGAACCTTCACGCCACTGTCCGAACAAGCAAGTGGTGCAGCCCCGCCTTCATCAGGTGTGAAGCCCGCAACACCATCACAACCATCCCTCATTGCCATTGTCGTCCAACAGCGGCGAGCAGCCGTACCCTCCAATCGACGACAGTCCGGGCTTCTTATTCTGCCCGTTTTCACCAGTTACTGGCGATAAAAATCGTCGAACCCATCAACCAACGTTGAGAACTTTGTCCCCTCGATCAACGTCCATACACGGAGCCCTCTCCTCAGCCCATCGCCGCCGCGAACTAGCCGTGAAGTCGACCGTATGTTTTTGCCGTGTGCCGCCTCCTTCTACGTCAGGACCAGCCATTGTGCAGCGGCGATTCCCCGGGTTGCTCACCTCCACACCCTTTCTCCTCTCGCCCGCCTCTGTTGTGACGAGTTCCGGCAGCCTCCGAGAATCCCGCGGGCCTTTTCCATTCGCGAGCCGACCTGTCCACCGAGATGAGCCGCTGTCCTTTGCCCAACTGAGAAGTCCCCGACGCCGCGACTTCCAAGTTGAACCAAATCACCTCTGCGACCCGCTGCGAGAGCTTGACCGTGCCAGCCGTACGATTAGGACCGAGGCCAAGCGAGAAGTCGCCCGAGGTTATTTGATTTGTTTTCGGGATTATATCAAGGAGCCGAACCCCTTTTTCTACTAGAATTTCTGTTTGGGTTTTGCTTGGACTTCATCGAGATGCCGGGAAGGCCGAGCCCAGTTTCGGACGATGTTAAATGCCAAAAGATAAAGGAATTCGAGGAGTTCCACCCGTGACATCTATTCCAAATAGATAAGGACATTCAAGAGGTGTTCGAGAAATGAGAGGAACTGAAAAGGTTAGAATGCCCCGGCATCACACACGGGACCGGAATTGAGAAGCTCAAAGTCGTTCTGATAATGACCTGGAGGAGGAGAGCGGAACAGATATGTGATGACCTCGCAAGGAGAGACCCGAGGGGCTACCTAAGACTTGCACCAGTCAGCTTCTACGATCTAGTTGCTCGACTCGAAAGGGAATGAGAGGAAAACCAGTTGCCTTCGGAATTAGATTTTGAGTCTTCGAGAAAGGATCGGCTGGTCTTAGGCGAGCCCAGCGGAGGAAGCAATGTGTTAGTTGAGGAGTCGAGCCACTTGTCTACGGCTTGATCTTAGCGTCTTTTTCGTCCATCTGAACATGTGGGTGTTATTAAATTTCTATGCCATACTTCTTTATAATTGCTAGATGGTATGATCAATGTATGCGTGTGGTCCATGTGACCTATCGTTGGATACCGTATCGACCTTCGATATGGTATCTGCTGTCGTCGTGTGCGGTTATCGACCTTCGACGGTGCCTATTATGAGGAAATCTCCTTTTAACATGTCGTTGTGTGCGGTTATCGACCTTCGGCATGTACTTCCATTGTTGTGTGCGGTTATCGACCTTTAGTGGCTTTTATAGGTATGCACATGAGTATTATTTGATGATAAGAAGATGTGATAAATTATTGATTCATGTTCATGCTGCGACCATACTATCTGCCATTATATTTGATTTATGTGCATAGTAATGAGCTAGTGGTTTTCTCACTCCCACGACCCCCCCTCCCTTTCAGGTTATGAAGCTGGCAACGGTGACGATGGACAGACGGGTGGTGGTCGATTTTAAAGAAACTATTTTTATTTTGCTTCTGTAGACTTGAATTTGTATTGCTTTGAAACATGTTTTATTGAACCACGTTTGGATGACTAAAATTGGATTGATGTTTGGAAAATTTGGTTGAGTTGTTTATAAACTTGTGATATGACTATTGGTTATGTTTAATGTCTTTAACTCTTGGTTTGGTATGATGATATGTTGGGACAATGGAACCGTTGAGTTATATGAAATGATTTTGGGGAATGTGAAATTATGGTTATATGAAATGATTTTGAGTAATGCCCTTTTCACGTTGCTGGAACCGGCTGCTCCCGGTCCATAAAAAAACAGAGTCTCAACCGAGGCCGAGTGCTGCAACTTGATTCTGACTCGTTTGCAAAATCGGTGGCTCTCGGCTGCTCCTCGTCAACGACTGGACAGGGTCGTGGCTCGTCAGACGAGGTCGGATGCTAAGGACGGTCACCAAAAAACAGGACGTGGCTCGTGATCAAGGCTCATTGAGGCTCGCGAAGGTCGCAACCCCGTCAAAACGGCTTTAGCCTCTTCGCCGAAAATTGGTGCGCTCGACTCTCCTTGTCGAAAATGCTCCACCGCTGCTGCTTGTTCACGGCAATCAGCCTCGGTTCACCTGCCTCGCATCGCCGTGAATGGATGGCTCGCGATCGCCGGTCGTGCGCTGGCCTTCTCGAAATTTACTGCGGGATGTCGTCTGATTTTTTTTTTACTGAGGAAGAAATCTGGATTTTTTGGGTGTAGAGGCGACATGAAAAATAGGGTCGGCTTTGATGGCGTTCACGGCTTATAAATAGGGAGCTGGAGAAGAAGAAGATCTCCCTTGGTTTGACCGAAAGAAAATGAAGGTTGAGAGGGATGACTCTTTCTTAGGGTCGGCTGAAAATATGGGACATAGACTTGGGTTGGTTCTTAAATTTGGGCCGAGAATCAGGGGCCTGATGGAATGGGCCGAAAATGGTGTTAGGCTTTAGGACTTGGGCATATTTTAGGCAAAAGATAAAAGACTTGGGCAAATTTTAAACACTTAAGAAAATAATTAAACACTTAGCACAAAAAGACTTAGGCACAAAATTCACTTAAGGAAAATAAAATAAAATAAACAATTAGTACCTTTGGGCAAAACAAAAACAATTTAAGTACTTTGGAGCAATTTAAATAAGCAAGACCACAAAAATAAGAACTAAGAAGACGAGACATCCTCTTATACCTTGAATTTTGGATCGATAAATTATTAAACAAACTAAATAAACGAAGACATCTATTTAATTCGATTTTTAGATTAAACAAGATTATACAAAGTCGAGCTAAGAAATGAAATTCATAATGAACATTCTATGATGTTACTAATATAAACGGGGCCTTATACCAACCCTAACACATGGCCTTAATATAAAAAGAGGGTTGGGATATTTTTTGCCCCTCACCTGATATGTCCACATGGACTGCGACCATGGTGTCAAGGTCAAAATCTAGCGAAGGAAGACGTCGCTGCAACTGGACGGCTTTCCCGCACTCAACAACTGGGCCGACGAGATATGGCGGACTTCACCTTCTCCAGTGAGGGTTTCAACTCTGGCGAAATTCTGTGAGGCGACACCTCCGGCAATGGTCGACGGCGAGACCATCAGAGAACATCCTTCTTTAACCTCAAAATCCTTCTTTTTTCTTTTTCTTTATTTTTTTTTTTAAAAGATGAACTTAAAAAATCGACCGAAAGCGACCACAGAGCTTGGGCAAGTTTTCGGCACGGTCTGAACGGCCAAGGCCAAAAGGGCCGGCCCTTTACTGTCTTTGTTGCCCGGAGACAACACCATTACAGTGACAAATGGAAAAAACGAAAACCTAGGTCTAGGGCAAGAACTGAAAAGTGAGCTGCAAAAAGAACGAAGAAAAGGGGTCCTGCCGTCGGTGGCGGCGGCGGCCAAAAATCGGAGGGTGAACTGAGCTAGAAAAGCCGGGGGAAGACAAAAAAGACTGAGAAAAAATAAATTAAAGCTGCAAATTTTGAAAATCTAGAGAGGAGTTTATATTGTTTCTAGGATTACTGACTGCTTATCTTGTAAGTTCGATATATAACACTTAGGGGGCGATTGGATATAGTTTCAATAGTAAAAAAATCAATCACAACTCAAATTTAACTCAACTTTAACCCAACTCAATATCTCGAATATTATCAATGTAATTAAATAATATCAGTCAATTATTCTTACACATCACATCAACTTTAATTCACTATTCATCCATAACTAATCATCACTTCCAAATTTTTCTTCTACTTTAAAATCAACTTTATTATTTTCATTAAATACTATTTTAATATATCCACTAACAGTTAACCTTACCACATTTTTTTTTTCAAACGATAGATTCATTACTAAAACACATACTTACAATCGGCTCACTATCCGAACAAAGGGAGGCCTACCAACACTCAAAGGTAGCATAAATACCACGACACAACACAACAAAACACACAGAAACTCCCCAATGAGAGAATACAAGCTCCCCAACGGAAGAATCAACACTCCCCAACAGGAGAATCAACACTCTTAAAAACAAAAATCGGGGAGAAAAAACACAAACGCACTTTTACAACACAACACGAACATAAACACAAAACATAAATAAACTATAGCCCTTCCAACACCAGCTAAACCAAACAGAACACCAATGACGCCGACACCTATGGGTGGTCACCCATACGGACAGAGACCTGATCCAAGCCTCAAAGCCAGAAACTGCAGATAAATCGCCTAACTACGTTCAAGACTAAAGGACCGTGACCTTCGCCCGGGCAACAACCCATATACCCGCAGCCAGAGAAAACACCACAAACTCCACCTCGCAAATCCCGATGACCCAGACCCATAACATAAGACCCGACCCGACCCGACTCCTCCACAGCAACCCAATCGGCCCAATGGCGGAGAAGAACGGGAGAAGAGAGGAGAGTGGAACCGCCCTATCTCAGCCCCGACCACCACCGAGGGGATGATTGGATCCACAACCGACTCGCACAGCCTCGTCGGAAGCCTGCCCCCGCCTAGACACCGAGGAATCGCAGGACCGCATCTTACCTTGACGACCTAGATAGAGGCGAAAACAAGGAAGAACCTGCCGCGTCGCTCGAAGAAGAGGCTGCCGCCACCTCCGACGATTCTCTGGAAGCTGGCCGTACAGCGCGGTGAAGGCCGCCGTCATGGTGGCCCGAAGGTCCTGCTGAGGGAAGGCAGAAATTGCTCCGATTTAGGGTTTCTGTTAATTTGGGGGAAAAGGTCGGCTTACGAGAGAGATCGCAGTTTTAGATTCGATGGCTAAAAAATTCGAGAGAGAGGAGTTTTCAACCATACCACATATTTTCAAAATCAACTATATTTAAAAAGAAAACCGAATAAAAACTAATTGCATCCATAAACAATCACCCACTTATCGATTGGTGGACCAATTATTGAATTTTTCTCAATATATAGCACTCGGGACTGTAATCCAATTATAGAGTTATATTATTACACACCAGATACGAATGTCAAATTATTAGCGATAAATTCTGAAGAAATTGTAACAAACACATAGATGATAATTAAAATAATGAAAATCTCGTAACATGTTCCCTTTTGGCAAAAGGGGGATTTCAATGTTTTCGTCCTTCATTTCCTAAGTTCCATGATCCAATAATTGTAAGCACAAGCCGCTTTTTTGAAGTCATTGAATCCAGCATCCATAGCCAACTTCTCAAATTCTGTTTCTGTCCTTTCTTTGCCTCCTTGGGTGAAGCACATCATCATCAAGTCCTTACTCAAAGCATTTTGGGTGGCAACTCCAGCATAATCTGGTCCCTCTGGCAGAACTAATTCCACCAAAATCACTTTCCCATTTGCAGGAATTGCGTCGTAGCAGTTTTTCAGCAACTTGACCCATTGTTCATCACTCCAATTGTGAGTAACCTCCTACAATTATATTGAGCACAAAATTATAGCAATCAGACTAGAGTAATCTTAATTATAATAGAGCAAACACAATAAATTTTCATATTTATTTTTTAACCTTTTAGATTTATAGTAACAATATTTCGACTTCTGTCATAATATGCCTCCAACCCAACGGATATTCCAATAATATAGTTGTCATTGGAATCATTCCAAACGAAATTCTAACGAAAATATTTTGTTGGAATAAGTTTTTTTATTGGAATTTTAGATGGACTTTGATGATTTTAACAACTATTTTGCAACGATTTTTTACCATTGGAATATGCAATTTACGGTTGATTTTTTATTTCAACTCCAGTTGGAAAATCTATCGTTGGAATTATCAAAATCTTATGGAAATTTCAATGATTTTATTCCAACAGAATATTTTTGTTGGAATTTTCATTGGAATCCATTCAAAAATTCCAACGGAAATAATAACATTAGAATATCCATTGGAATTGCCGTTGAAATTATATATATATATATAGGATTTGGTTCAAATGAGAACTAAGTTCTAGCGTGAGAACCGTGAGAACCACTATTTTTAATTGTATGTAGTGCTATGATTGATTGTATTTTAGTGCTATTTTTAATTAGGATGTATTTTATTAAAAATAGCAACACAATTTATGTTAACATTTGTAAAAATGATAGCACCATGTGAGATTAAAAATAGATATCATACACAATTAAAAATAGCATCAAATATGGTTCTCACACCAGGACTAGTTTTTATTTGAACCAACCCCTATATATATATATATATAGGGATTGGTTCCAATGCATCTCATTATTTAAAGTGAGAATGTGAGATTCATTCCTAGCCACAAGATTTAGATCTTGATTTAAATAATAATTTTTTATTTTTATTATTTAATTCTTTATTTTTAATTATTTAAATATTATTATGACCATTGACCGTTGACTCCGGCGTTGACCGTTGACTTCCGGCGTTGACTTCCGGCGAAAATCGTTGACTTCCGGCGTTGACCGTTGACTCCGGCGTTGACTTCCGACGTTGACCGTTGACCATTTGTCTTTTGTTATGTTATTTCTTTCTTGTTAGGTTAGTTGTGTCTTGTTGCTAGGTTAGTTGTTTGCTGTTGCTAGGTTAGTTATTTGTAGCTGCTATGTTAGTTGAGTTTTGTTGCTAGGTTATTTTTTTCTTGCAGCTAGGTTAGTTGTCTTTTGTTGCTAGGTTAGTTCTTCTTGCTGCTAGGTTAGTTGTCTTTTGTTGCTAGGTTATTTCTTTCTTGCTGCTAGGTTAGTTGTCTTTTGTTGCTAGGTTATTTCTTTCTTGCTGCTAGGTTAGTTGTCTTTTGTTGCTAGGTTATTTCTTTCTTGCTGCTAGGTTAGTTGTCTTTTGTTGCTAGGTTATTTCTTTCTTGCTGCTAGGTTAGTTGTCTTTTGTTGCTAGGTTATTTCTTTCTTGCTGCTAGGTTAGTTGTCTTTTGTTGCTAGGTTATTTCTTTCTTGCTGCTAGGTTAGTTGTCTTTTGTTGCTAGGTTATTTCTTTCTTGCTGCTAGGTTAGTTGTCTTTTGTTGCTAGGTTATTTCTTTCTTGCTGCTAGGTTAGTTGTCTTTTGTTGCTAGGTTATTTCTTTCTTGCTGCTAGGTTAGTTGTCTTTTGTTGCTAGATTATTTCTTTCTTGCTGCTAGGTTAGTTCTTTCATGCTGCTAGGTTAGTTGTCTTTTATTGTTAGGTTATGTTATTTCTTTTCGCTGCTAGGTTAGTTGTCTTTTGTTGCTAGGTTATTTCTTTCTTGCTGCTAGGTTAGTTGTGTTTTGTTGCTAGGTTAGTTGTCTTTGTTTCTAGTTTAGTTGTTCTTTCTTGCTGCTAGGTTAGTTGTGTTTTGTTGCTAGGTTAGTTGTCTGATGCTGCTAAGTTAGTTGTGTTTTGTTGCTAGGTTAGTTGTCTGATGTTGCTAAGTTAGTTGTATTTTTTTTTTATAAAAAAATTGTAACCCATAGGATTTGAACCTGGTACCTCATGGAGGCAAGACAAACAATGCAACCACTACACTACTCAAGGTTGAATGTCTTTTGTTGCTAGGTTATTTATTTCAATACAACGGGTCAACGCCGGAAGTCAACGGTCAACGCCGGAAGTCAACGATTCTCGCCGGAAGTCAACGCCGGAAGTCAACGGTCAACGCCGGAGTCAACGGTCAACTATTTTATTATTTAATTAATGTATATTTTAATTGATTTTGATCTAGACAAAATGAGTGGCTAAGATTGAGTCTCACGTACTCATTTTAAGGAGTGGTCTCATTGGATCCACCCCCTATATATATATATATATATACATATTTCTGTTGGAATTTTCCGTTGAAATTTCATCATTTTCTCGAAGTTTCCATTTAAATTTCATCATTTTCTTGTAGTGTCTTTTTGAACAGAAAACATATAATATAATGTGATATGTATAAGCTACAGGATCTCACCTTTAGAAAAATAGCATCTGCTTTCGGCACATTAACAAACATATCTCCTGCAATATGCTCCACACCTACATTATTCATTAAGCATAAAAAATCAAGTCGGAAGGATAAGCTGAAAGGATTGGAAAATATAAGATTGTCATAAATATGTTAATATTGTGGACCAATATGGACCTTAGAAAGTATGGGTCGAAATCCCAATAGGTGTAAAAGTCTGGGCTATATAAGTTTTGTTGAACATCATTTTGTTGAGAAATTCTGAGACTCGAAAATGTTGCAATTGCAGAAAATGAATACACCACAGACATAAAAAGGGGCATGTATGTCACATTACTCACATATTCATCCCATATTGTTGTCGAAAGAGTTGCAGCATTGGATAATGGATTGGTCATACAAATCTTAATCCACAAAACATGACATTGATAAATTGAAAAACGGCATAATGTGTAATAATATTTTATATTATTCTATTATTGTGGACCATATAATTAGTTGGACCTAATTGAATTAATAGTCAAATTAATTTAAGGTGAATATATATTTAATGGATTATTAATGTTCTAATATTAAAGAGTCCAATTTGTGATGTTTGACTTGGACAATAAGTTAGGTTAGAACATGGGGAATGTTAGTAGGAATAGGTTTGTAGGACTCCTCCTATATATACTACATGCCCCTCTCTCCCATCTCATACGAAAATAGAGTTCTCAACATCAAGGGCTTTATGAAAAGACGAGAGACACGGGAGAGAGAAACAATTCAAATAGGCGAATCCATCATTGGAGATTATGAGAAAGATAGATCAATGAGATTACGAGGAGGAAGAGATCGCAGATCAACATCATAGATCAAGAAAACAGGGAAGGACTATAAGCTGGATTCTTGTAAGTTCTATGTGCAATTTAATTTATGCAAAAGATCCATATTCTATGAACTGATAGAATTACATGCCTAGGGTTTATTCAATTCCGCCTGATAGTTATGAGTATGCCCATTAAATTTCTTACATGTGGTATCAGAGAATGTGTTTATGCATGATTATCTTGCCAAATAAAAGTTTTTCATAAACTAGTAATTGCGTTAGTTGTTACGACATATATTACTTTGAATCGGAAGTAGATTCGTAATGGTTCAATTTGTATAATTATTTTCTACTGTATGGTGATTTTAGTCGTGGCTTGCCTAAAATAATTGTTGCAACCTGCATAATGGATTGGTAAATAGTAATGGTTGTGATTTATTTGTTCTTTTAGTTTGCCTGCCACAAAGCACGGATTGTTGAAAATTGTGGAAAACAAAATTGAATGACTGCTATGATTTAATTATATGTGCTGCCTAATAGTTTAGTTACTGAATCCCTTTCAGTAATCTGTTATATGCTGCATGTATTATATTCTAATAAATCATTGTTGAGGTTAATGATAGTTTATCATAATAACCTCATAATGAAATATTAACAATAAACTATATTAAAGTTAGGGTGATTGAGATATGTTATAGTTTTGATAATCTCATAAAATACCCATCACATAGTTTCTAATTATATTATCTATGTAAAGAAACTAGTTAGTCACCAAAGTGGCCTAGTTTAATTATGGAATAGATAATTAAATTAGATAAAATATAATTATTATAAAATATTATCTAATTATGTTATCTATGTAAAAAACTAGTTAGTCACCAAAGTGGCCTAGTTTAATTTATGGAATAGATAATTAAATTAGATAAAAGTATCAATTATTCAAATATAAGACGATGTCTTATTAATGTACCCTAATATTATAATATTTGAATAATTGATGTTATAGATTATAAACTAGGAGGACACCCAAAGGTGGGCCATGGTTTGTAATATATGACACTAAAAGAGAAATTATATTAAAGTTAGGTTAATTAGTGTGTTTGTCCAAAGATAACCACTAGTTGATCACAATTCTTGTAATTTCTATTAAAGATCTTTCCTCTTAGGAATCAATCAAGTATATTATATATTTAAGTATTTGCCCAAAGGTATATTTAAATATATAATTTAAAAGAATTCTGAATCCATTAATTGTCTCTCAAAGCGTAACTAAATAACATGTATTAAAGTTTGCAGCGTTCAAAATTTGGTTATCCGTATAGTGTTATAGTTTAAAAATTCAATTGGATGAACTTCAATGAATGGTCTAAGCATATCCAATTTCAATTAGGTTCAATAAATTTGGATAAGACTCTAATTATTGATGAAGTTCCCACAACCATTAATTATGAGAACTCCAAAGTAGAGGTAACTCTTTGTACGGTATGTGAGTGATCAAATAGGTTGTGTATGAATTTTATGAAGTTAATCAAGGCGGATAACATTAAGGCTAATATTACAAAAAGAATTCCTAAATAAAAATTAAGGATTATCTCCATTTAAAATTGCGGGAAAAGTTTATTGAGGAAAGTTTCATTAATGTACTCTCCACTATGAAAGTTCATCTGATTCCGCTCCATCCATGATTTCGTGATCCATGTGTTCCACATATAAGCTAAACTTGCAAACATGAGAATGAATGTGATAGACTCATTTATGGTTTTATTCATCATGAACTCCTTACCTGTCGAGTTTGGTCAATCCTAGGTGAACTATAACACCATTAAAGATAAACGGGATTGTAAGCAAATTAAGGCTATAGTGGTGCAGGAAGAGATGGGAATAAATGAGATGAAAGAAGAGTCGATTCACTTTATATCTCATGTGAGAGCCAATAATAGTAAGACAAAATGGGAAATAAAGGTAAATAAAATGAGATTGGCTTACTTAAATTTTGCAGGTCCAATCATTAAAGAAATGAGGTGATATTTCTGTAAAGAGTTAGGCCACCTCATGAAAGATTATCCGAAATAAAATCTTGATTCGAAAAGAAAAATATACATTAAATTTTTGTATGTTGTGAATCAAATTTATCAAAGATTCCCAATAATATTTGGTGGCTTGGTTCTGTGCAACTACTTATGCATCTCATATTTATTTTGAGGTTAAGCGTAGTGTACATAATTAAAATTATACTCTCTTATGGCATTAAAGATTCTAGTCACATATCCGAAGAAAAGTTTTGAGAATGTTGAATAATGAAACTATTTCTCATTTGGATTTTAGTGATCAAGATGTATGTGTAGAATGAATTAAAGAAAAGCAAACTAGACATACATTAAAGAGATCTTCCATGAGAAGCACTAAAATTTTATAACTTATTCACACTAATTTTTGTGGTCTATTCAACGTCCCTTTGTGGGGTGATGTAAAGTATTTAATCACCATTATAAATGATTTCTCACGTTATAGTTATATTTATCTACTACATGAATAGACTCAATCATTGGACTATCTAAAGATATACAATGATGAGATGGAGAGGTAGTTAGATAAATAAGTAAAAGTTGTGAGATCTCACTAGAGTGGTGAATATTAATGTAAGTTCAATAAAAGAGAATAATATCCTAGTCCATTTGCAAAGTTTCTTGAGATTTGAAATATTTGTGTGCAATACACTATAATTGAGACTCTTCAACATAATGGTGTTGCTGAGAGGATAAACCATACTTAAAGAATATGGTTAGAGGTAGGTTGAGTAATTCAACATTAACGTTTTCTATGTGGATGCATGTATTAAAGATTACTGCATATTGGATAAACAGAGTTCCTAGTAAGGCAGTTCCTAAGACACCTTATGAACTGTGGACGGGTAGGAAACCTAGTTTGAGGCATCTTCATATTTGGGGGTGTCAAGCAGAAGTGAAAGTATATAATCCACATGAAAAGAAACTTATTCCTAGGACAATCAATGGTTATTCATTGGCTATTCGAAAGGTTATAAAGGATATAAGTATTATAGCCCTAACCATAGTACGAGAATAGTTGATTCCGGCAATGCCTGATTCATTAAAAATGATCAAATCAGTGGGAGTTTGGAACTGCAGAGTTTAGATGTCAAAGAAGCTCGGGTTGGACAGTCCAAACCCGAGGATCCATCAATGGTTGTTATTCTTTTAGTTACAGTATCGTAATGTAACTTAGATAAATAACAAAATGATCCAAACTCACTTGACAATGAATCATCATAAGGAATCAAGAAATAAAACAACCTATGGTTGATGAATCACAAGCCATGAAAGTGTAAATTCTGAAAGGTTGATCAATGCCATGAAAGAATAATTAAAGTTAATGGATGACAATAAAGTTTGGGATTAAGTAGAATTACCTTAATGGTCTAAAAGAGTTGGGTGTAAAGGGGTTTTTCAAAACCAACGCAACTCTAAAGGTAATATCGAAAGATATAACGTTAGACTTGTTTCTAAAAGTTACACCCAAAAAGAAGGCATTGACTACAAGGAAGCATTCTCTCTCGTTTCAAGAAAGATTCCTTGAGAATTGTAATACTAATGGTGGCTCTGTATGTTTTTGAGCTGTATCAACATGGACATAAAGATCACCTTCTAAATGATAAACTTAGAAGGAGATCTACATGAACTAATTAAAAGTTTTTTAGATCACAAGAAATGAAACGTTAGTGTGTAAGTTGAATAGATCGATATATGGACTAAAACAAGTCTCTCGTGAATGGTATCTTAAGTTTCATGATACCATCACAGCTTATAGATTTGTAGAGAATACCGTAGATCGGCGTATCTACATTAAGGTCAGTGGGAGTAGATTTGTTATTTAGTTTCGTATGTCGATGACATATTATAGTTGCTAATAATGTGGACATGTTGCACGAAGTAAAGTATTATCTCTCTAAAAAGTTATGAAATAAAGGATGTGGATGAAACGTCCTTGCTAATTGGAATAGAAATATTCTGGAATAGATCACAAGGACTAAAAGTTTATCCCATAAAAGTTTTATTTGAGAGATAATGGATCGTTGTTCCGTATAATTCCAATTCATAAAAGTGACACATTTAATCTAAAATAAATGTTCGAAAGGTGAAATGGAATGAAAAGTGATAGAGGAAATTCCTTAGATTAGGAGTCTTAAGTGAGACAAACCTGTACTAGGTTTGACAACATATTTGTTGATGGTACATTAAACAAATATATAATAGTAATCCCTAAGTGATTATTTAAATGCTGCAAAGAAATTTTTTAAAGTATTTACAAGGCATTAAAGAACACATGCTAATTTAAAGAAGATCCAAATTATTTGTTATAATTGGATACTTGGATTCGGACTTTTGCTCATAATGTCTAAAGGAGCAAGATTATGGAAAAGTGGAACAAAGTCCATCATCGTGACTTCCACAATTAGGTTTGAGTTTGTGGTATGCTTTGAGGCCACAAGTCAAAATTTAGGGCTACGGTGCTTTATCTTGGGACTTGGAAATGTCGACATCTAGTCCAAGCCGCTAAGAATTATCGCAGTATCGTAGCAATAATATTTCAAGGAATGACAAGTATTAAAAGGGTGTGAATCACATAAAATTGAAATACTTGGTTGTAAAAGTAGAAGTGAAGAACTAAAGTGTCATTTGAGCATTCTAGTACTACTTGCATGAAAGTGGATCCATTAAAATGGTGATTCCCTAAGCCTTTGGAAGGCATATAAAGAAAGTTAGGAATAACGAATAGGGCCTTGTTGGACTGACCGATACTGAATGAAATTGCTCAATTATTGATTTTGACACTTATTGAATTCAATTAAAGATGTTTGATTTTTCACACTTAATACCATCATTATGGATATTTGATTTTATAGTATATACATAAAAGTTGGATGGCTTATGGTTATGGTACGAATAGCTTGTTCCATATTAAAGCAAAGTTGAATTAGAAATGATTTGTGGTACATGGAAGGGATCATGTCGCTCGAAGACTTGTGACCGCCATGACTCGGTTAATTTCTAGTTTGATTTTAAATTTATAGATATATGTATTCAATTATAAGTTTGAGGAAAGGTGCGCGCTTAAAGTAGTTCTTTGGGTTTCGACACTATATGGTCCAAGTGGGAGAATGTAATAATATTTTATATTATTCTATTATTGTGGATCATATAATTAGTTGGACCTAATTGAATTAATAGTCAAACTAATTTAAGGTGAATATATATTTAATGGATTATTAATGTTCTAATATTAAAGAGTCCAATTTGTGATGTTTGACTTGGACAATAAGTTAGGTTAGAACATGGGGAATGTTAGTAGGAATAGGTTTGTAGGACTCCTCCTATATATACTACATGCCCCTCTCTCCCATCTCATACGAAAATAAAGTTCTCAACATCAAGGGCTTTATGAAAAGACGAGAGACACGGGAGAGAGAAACAATTCAAATAGGCGAATCCATCATTGGAGATTATGAGAAAGATAGATCAATGAGATTACGAGGAGGAAGAGATCGCAGATCAACATCATAGATCAAGAAAACAGGGAAGGACTATAAGCTGGATTCTTGTAAGTTCTATGTGCAATTTAATTTATGCAAAAGATCCATATTCTATGAACTGATAGAATTACATGCCTAGGGTTTATTCAATTCCGCCTGATAGTTATGAGTATGCCCATTAAATTTCTTACATAATGCACTTGTTAATGTAAAAAATCAAATTAATTTGTGAATTTTGTAAAAATTGTCAATATTATAGCAACTATTGCCAAAATATTAATTTTGATTTCAAACTGATTTGATTCTTATTCATCATGTATAGAATAATTGACTGTTTTTACCTCGTAACATCATAATCAGAAAATTGAAAATTCATAATTATCTGCGAAAAATGTGGCTTCAATCTCATATATTTCTTCAAATGATATAATTTATTTACCACAAATTAATAATGTTTAGTCTAATATGATATTTTTCTATAAGAAAATTATTTATGCAAATGAATATGATATAATTATTTTTAATAAAAAATAAATTTAATAAAGTTTATTTAAAAAAATAACTTGATTAAAAACCAACTGTAAATAAAAAAAAAATCAATAACAATTCTTCAAAACATAAAAAGCAAATATATAAGATCTCAAAAACAACTTTTATTCGAATAACATCATACAATTTATAACTATTTTTTGAATAAAAAAAAACAGTTAAAATCCAGACATACAATTTTTAAAGCAAAAAATAGGGATCAAATTGAAATAAATAAAATTAATTTATATTATCAAATTATAAATCTACATATCACTTTGTATCTTATGAATCTATCTTGAATCGATTATTTTTCCTCATAAGTATGGAAAAATAATTGCTTTGTGAGATAACTATATCAGAGATACATACTTATTGTTGTAAATATTTATTGATAGACATTACTTAGATATAGATTTTGTAGATATGGGCCAAAAACTAATTAGGTCATTAATCATGTATATTGTACTTCCTTATATATAAGGCTCAAGTGAATGAATAATATGGGGGTTTATTTACAGTTGTATCTCTTCTCTATTGTTCTCTCTATTCTCTTGTATTGCTTTCTCTCTTTCTCTACTCACATATCGACGATCTATATTACAACGCGTTATCAGCACCAGTACCCTACCATCTAAGCGAACGGCGACAACATCAAGACGAACATGTAATCAAGGTAATGATCGAGAATTTGATGTATGCGACGTAAGTGTAATCAATGTAACAATCGAGAATTGATGTATGCCCTAGAAAATATTCGTGTCTTTTCTGTCAAGGTAACATTCAAAATCTATCCAATATCTGTTATGATATATTAGTTTTATCAATTTTAGTTATATTTCAATATCGACTGAAGTGTGAGTTGATGATTTTTGTATGAGTTTAATTGTTGTGGTTGTGCTGTCAAGTATCTGCGAGGTACATTAAAAAATTTGTTATAAATTGATAATAATTCTTTTCATCTTTAATTTTGGATATGTACTTCATCTCTAAGTGTAAATGACTCGGTAAATTATTTCTGTTTTAAATGATAAGTAATTTATTTTTTATGCATTTTTAGCTTCAATGTATCTCGTGCTGAAAAATTTTTCAATCTGAACTGTAATAAACTTTGAAGATGTTTTTGTAGATGAGTGGAATGCTACCTTATAAAAAATTTTAGATATGATATAACTCTATATATTTTATCTTGTAATAAAATATATGGTGCCGAAAACCGAAACATGAAATTTGTTTGATATTTTCAAATAAGAGTGTGCAATACTGAAAATTTGTGTAAACTGCACCTTTGTTCAAGTTTGGGAATTGTTTTGTTGATAAATTTGACCTGATTTTGCCATGATCTTTTGATATAATTCGTTATATTATGTTACCTAATCTCAATAAATATTCCAGATATATTAGATATAAAAATGTGTATATATGATTTTCTCAATATAATATGGATGTAAAAATCTGGAAGAGGTGAGATTTAATGATTTATGTTATAAAATCTGTTTTGCTAAAAGAATTTATGTGACATTATAAGTATATCTATCATATATGGGAGGAAGATTATATACAAAATATAGCGGGAATATTTGATATATATTATTAATGCTACACAGCTCAATTTATGATCATTTTTATAATAAGTTGTATGAGAATATAGAATTGTGCAATTATGAAAATTGTGTTGCATTAATTTAACGAATATCTATCTATCCAATTATATTCAATTAAAACACTAGTAGTCCCAAGAAGGATACTAAAATTAAATATTGATGTGTACAATGATTGGAACAATGTATTAGTTGACTATAAGATGTCAATCTATATTTCATCTATCGATAGTGCTTAAGTTGACAATGAAGTTTTTATGGCTCCTTCAAAGATCTCCTATAAGTTAACAATAAAGTTTTGATATACTCCCTTATGGATCAACACTGATATAAGTATCGACATAAAAGAATGATTAAACTATGAGTAAGTCTTTATGACTAATTTTGAATTAAGATATTATTGAATATTTTATAGTTTGTTATGAATAGTTTGTATTCCCAAAATAATACATGAGAATTATAAAACCTAACAAAATCAATAATCATGGACATAATATATAACAATAGTGATATAAATATAGTTATTTAAAATTGTATTAGTGTCAGAAGCACATGTACAAAAGTATAATTTGTCACATGAGATATATGGGTAGAAAATTATTTGTATTCTATAAAACTATATGTTTCTTTGACTTAAATTATCATTATTTGTATATGAGAATATCTTGTTTGATGACATTACCTGTTATGATTTGAAAGTGGTAACACGCGCAAGATATGTAATATCCTATTCAGTAATTAATAAAAGTAATTAAATTCTAAGTTAGAACTATTTTACTCTTATTAATAATGATCTTTTATATTTCCAAGCCTTAATAAATCTCTTAGAATTTTATTATTTATTTTAAGGTCAAGATCAATCCATTAATTTGGAAGTATAATTTAGCAAAGGTTGGCCTTATAAGTAAATTAAGGCCATCAACATCTAAGGCTATCGGAGACGAGAGACTTAAGCCATATTTAATACCCCAAGCACCAAAGTCAAGGCCCTGGTTTTCCTAGACTGAGAGCTCGCCTAGTTTACACCTGAGCCTTTCGTGCCTTGTTCTTAAGCCCGTTTAACGTAAGGATGGCTGACCCCTTTAGCCTCCTTTCTGTCCGAGTTATATGTGTTTCTATGTGATTAATATTCAGTTACTAAGTGTTTTAAGAGCATGCCTTGAATTGAGAAGATTGAGCCTAGTTAAATCATGTGAAGAACTGTTAATTTAATTCGATTTTTGACCTGCTTATACACGTCTGATTGAGCTGAAAATTTGCAGGCTATTTTTTGTATGAATGATGAATATGTATGTCACATTTCAGATTATGTTGATAAGTATAGCATGTTGTGGAATTGTTTGAAGTCTGATGTGTAATTCGATTCATATCCCTTATTTGTTTTTTTAACTGCAAATTTGAGTCTATATATCTCAGCCTATGATCATGATATTAGTTTGAAATTTTTATGACATATTTCTGTATGTGTTGAGAGTATGTGCATCAAATTTTATCCTCTATGATGTGTATTGAATGAGATAAAAATGTTTGAGTCTTAGCATGTCCGTCTGCCATTAGATTCGAGGTTTCTCAGTCTACACGCATGATATTGATTTGAAATTTTTATGAGTATGTCTTGAATGAGTTGTGATCATGTTTGTCAATTTTCAGCCTCATATGTTGAGTATAGAATTTTAGAAAAATTCTTGAAGCTGATGGTGTCATAATCATGTTCTTACACGTAATTTGGCCTTAGTGCTGACATGCCTATTGTGGTGCTTTTGACCTGAAATTTTAACTGGAGATACTTGAGCATGTTGGCCAATGAATTGCTATGTTTTAAGATTTTATGTCTTATGTGTGATTTTATATAATTTTTGGAGTTTAAGGGTCTCTTTAGCCCTAGTGGATTAAGGTACTTGTGAACCTTTAATAATAAGATAAAAATTATTAACTGTAGATTAACAATGCATCGAGCCCTTTGCCAACCTTCTACTGATCATTGTGTATCTGTTTATCTCGACTGATCAGGTGGGTGTTGATAAACCTTACCATGTATGTTATTCTTTATAATTGCTTGACTTGATAATCAATATATGCATGTGAACCGTTCGTCTATGAGAGTGTTCTCACGTTGATGTTGTGTCGACGTTCTCCTATTTGTGCCTAATGAGAGGTTTCTTCCTTTGATGGAGTTTCGACGGTTTAGCTCTCGTTGATGTTATGTCGACGATTTAGATATGATCACATAAGCGTAGGGCTATATAGGAGGTAGACTAGATGATTTGTGTTCATGCTGCAATTAAGATTTTAAGTCATTATACTGAATAGACTGCATGATATTCCAAAGGTGAGCTAGTTGGTTTTCTCACCCCCACTATTTTCCACCCTTTCAGCTGGTGGCAGCGGCGAAAGACGAGCGATAATTGCTTGCCTTGTGAACTATTTATGCTTCCGCTTGTTAGTATTATTGTCTATTGCCCGACTGATATGATGTTTTGGGATTTTTGGATTAGATCATGAAACTCAACATTATGCATATTTTTGAATTATAAAAAGGAGTTGATGATATTGAGATGTCTTTGGTTTGAGTATGTTATACTTGTCTGGTTATTTTATCCTGATGCTGAGTGTGATCTGGGATGGTTTATTCCTAATGGTTTAAGTTGAGTTGATTTGAGTAATAGCTGTTATAATTTTTTTTAAAATGGTTTGCGAAAATTTAACTCTGATTTTGAAGAAATTCGATATTTTCTTATAAAAATAACGGGGCGTTACACTAACTCAACAAAAAAAAAGATCCAGTTTCCACGTTAGCATATCAAAAGTGAATTTCGCTCACTTGAATTTTAGTTTGCTCAACCTTGAGTTATCAGCTATCCCTCCTATCATCTCAACAAATAAATATATTGTTGATCTCTCTCAAGATAAGTTATGAAATAAATTAAGAAAACAAGACTAAGGAGGTACATATGAAGTTTACCTGAGTAAGACGGAGCATGTTGAATAACATGGAGTAAGTCGAAATTAATGCCTTTAATCATCGGATATCTAGAAACAATCATGTTTGTGGTTGACCCTATTCCTCCACCAACATCCACAATCGAATTCAGGCCTTCAAACCCATTGTACGTTGCCACAATTTTCTTCATGAGAATGGTGGAATTATCGGACATGGCATCAAAAAACAACTTATTGGACTTAGGATTTAACGCACTGTGCTCATACAAACTCATTCCATGAGCCTTGTTGAACGGGACTCCTCCCTCAACAATCGAATCTTTAAGTTTGCCCCTACGACGAGGAACAAAAAAGATACTAAAGTTAGGGTATACACACACAATAATTTTTTTATTTGTTCTTATTACAATTCTTATTATTTTCTATTGTCTTTATATGTCATTGGTAAAAATGACCACTTATAAAACTTCTAGAGTAGTAGTTCCAATAAAGAAAAACTTGGTTCAAATTTTCTGGGCATTGAGTATGTTTGTGATTCGATATTCTCTACACTGAGAGTATTATTGAATTGTCTAATATTGGAAGATGATGTTATCATTCAGCCTTTTAATCATTTATGGAAGTGGTTTATAGATATATCGTACATGATTATCAATGGACTTGCAACAAAGATGACTAGATAACACAATTTTGAAGCTTTTTCTGAAAGGAAAGCAAACAAAACGCAGCTAGCATGGGAAAGATAAATCGCCATAATTTTCTCTTAGTTTTCACTGAACAAGCAACATCCTGCGGCTAGGTTTTCACAGAGCATTTATATGAATAAGACAAGACATCTCTCAGCTCACAATACTCTCAACCATCAGATTTTTACACTTGATATCATCCTGATACATATACATGGGGCCACAGTAACCGAGGGGTGATTGGTCTTTTACCATGCATGTTTCCTTCTTGTCCAACAAGGCTATGAGCTGTCCATCTTTGACTTGACATGGGGAAGGAGTGCAAAGTTTAACATTCCCCCCTCAATTCGAGCGAGCTCAAAGGCACAAGAGATAGTTTGTTCCTGAGCCGAGAGAAGAATTGCAAGCTCAAGGGTTTTGTCATTATGTGTGCTATTTGATCATCTGAAGGTATGTAATTAATAGTGATGCTCCTTGCTTCCACATTGTCTCTCACAAAGTGAATATCGAGCTCAAAATGTTCCGTTCTAGCATGCGAAATCGGGTTTGTTGCTAGATAAATGGTGCTGAGATTATCAACCCACATAGTAGGCACACATGTGCTTTTGATGTTTAATCTCCTAGCAATGATTGCAACCAAGTTATCTCTGCAACATTATGGGCCAGGCTTCTATATTCTGACACTAGGCTCGATCTAGAAGCTGAATTTTGTTTCTTGGCAGACCAGGATAATAGATTACCCCCAAGATACACACATGAATCAGTCATAGATTTTCTGACATCACAATCACCAACCCAATCTGAGTCTGAGAGTCCTGTCAGGTTCAAATGACCTGATCTTACAAAGTGTAATCCATAGTCCTTTGTTCCAGCTAAATATCTCAAAATCCTCTTTACTGCCTTCCAATGATTTGTCAAAGGAATTGACATGAATTGACTAACCTTGTTCACTGAAAAGCTGATTTCAGGCCTTGTAATGGTTTCATATTGCAAGGCACCTACAACTCTTCTGTACAATGTAGCATCTATTCCTGACTCACCATCAAAGTTTGAGAGTTGAAGAGAGGGAACCATAGGAGTTGGACAGCCTTTCGCCCCTTCCATGTTGGCTCTTTGAAATAACTGGTTTATATAGTTGCCTTGACTAAGATTCACTCCCTCAGAGGTTCTATTTATTTCAATTCCAAGGAAGTGTTGCACCTCTCCCAAGTTCTTTAAGGAAAAATAAAATTTCAGTCTACTTATCACCTTCTCAACTGTTTGAGAACAACTTCCAGTCATAAGTATATCATCCACATAAATCAACAAGTATGTCATTTTTCCTTTTTCGTTCAAGACAAATAAGGATGAATCTGCTCTTGAGTTCTTGAATTTCATCTCCATTACCTTACCTTGGTAAACCATAATCTTGAATCTTGCTTCAATCCAAAGACAGCCTTAGAAAGCTTGCAAACGTTACTTTCGTCTCCTTCTTCAAAACCATATGGCTACCTCATATAAATGTTTTCTTGAAGATCACCATTTAGGAATGCATTATCTACATCCAAATGCATGATAGGCCAGAATTGGTTAACTGCTATGGTGAGTACTACTCTGATAGTTGTAGGTTTCACCACATGGCTGAATGTATCTGTGAAGTCAAAACCTGGTGCTTGTGAGAAACCTCGTGCCACAAGTCTAGCCTTGTACCTTGAAACACTCCCATCTGAATTTCTCTTCACTTTAAATACCCAATTGTTCCCAACTAGATTCTTTCCTTCTGGTAAGGTGGTTAAAATCCAGGTCTTATTCTTAATCAAAGCATTATATTCATCCTCCATAGCCTTTTTCCATCTATCATCCTGCAAAGCTTCCTCAACTGAATTGGGTTCTTTATCTTGGACTTGAAGACTATAAACCTTGGTTTTGTAGATCCCCACTTTAGACCTTGTAACCATTGGGTGAGCATTCGGAAGCTGTTGATTCTGAGTCCTCGTTGAAGAGTCTGGTTGATTGACTTGAATGGCCAACTCAACTACCAAAGGAACAGTTGAGTGACTATTATTTTCTGATCTGGATGCACTTCTTCTGTCACTCTGAGGTGTTATAATCCTTGCAGAAACTGAGGGAGATTCTTGTTGGCAGCCTTCATCATAGTTCTCTTTTTCATTGGGTTCAATGAATCTCTCAATTATAGGGACACCTAAGGGGTGAGCAGTGTTGTTCTTTTCTTTGTTGTCTGCTCTTTCCTGATAGGGAAAAACACCCTCATCAAACACAACTTTCTTTGTGACTATTATCTTTCTTGAAGGCAGCATCACTTTGAATATGTTGTAGTAAGGGCCGTATCCTAGAAAAATGCTAGGTTCTGATATGAACTGCAGCTTGTGCTTGTTGTAAGGTCTGATGTGAAGATAACACAAGCACCCAAAAACCTTCATGAGATGATAGTTTGGGTTCTTTTTTACAACCTTTCAAAAGAAGAGATCTAAGCCAGACCCTTTGTTGGTATTCTATTTATGGTATAGCAGGCTGTGACAAATGCATCATCCCAAAATCTCGGTGGTAGTTTGGAATGGTGAAACAAAGATAATTCCATCTCTACAAGATGTCTGTGTTTCCTCTCAGCCACCCCAACAATCTGCTGAGGGGTGTATGAACATGATATCTTGTGCTCTATGCCACATTCTTGTAAGACCTTAGTGAGAGTTTTGAATTCAGTGCCTCCATTTGATTGGACCCTTTTTATTTTGTAATTTAATTGATTCTCTGCAAGATTCTTAAAGTGAACAAAAGCTACATGCACTTCATTTTTAGCCTTAAGTAAATAAAACCAAGAAAATCTACTGAAGTGATCAACAAAAACCACATAATACATATAGCCATTTGTTGATTTAATTGGTGCAGAACCCTATAGATCAGTGTGGACCAAATCAAGGGGATGATTATATATAGTCAGGGGCGGAATTACATAGGGTCCCGTAGGGGCACGGGCCCCTGTAGAACGTTTTTTAGTAAAATAATATATATATATATATATATAGATAAATGTATTATTATATTGACATGAAAAAATACATGTTGTTAATTATTATGCAAAGTTATTTCAATATAAAAAAATAAAAATGAAATGCTTAGAATTATTTAACCTTCAATATATGTTATTTTTTAAGTTGTAGAATTTATGCTTATGCTATACTCAACTCATTGTTTATTTCCATTTCCCTCGCAAAATATATAAAAAACAAATATTATACATAAATATATATAATATATAGGGATTGGATCAAATGTGTCCATATTCTTAAAATGAGAATGTGAGACTCAATCCTAGCTATTAAATAAAAAACAAGGTGTCTAGTCAAGATTTAATCTTTTTATTTTTTTAATTGGTTAAATATAGATTTGACCGTTGATCTTCGGCATTGACCATTGACCATAATTTGTGCCCCTGTTATCCTAAAAGTCTGCGTCAGTCCCTGTATATAGTATCAGAAGAAGCAAAGGGTAATTTGTAACTCTTTGACACTGAACGAGAAACACATAAACTTGGATTGTCATTAACATAATAAGGGTGATAATTACATGCCTTCAAAGCCTTTTCAACAATGTCTAAACTGGCATGTCCTAGCCTTTTGTGCCACAAATCAAGGCTAGGAGTCTTATTTAAGGCACCTGCATTAACTTAAAACTGGTTAAGGTTTGGAGAAACTCCATTTGGTGAAAGCTGCAGGCTTGAAGCTGGATGAAGATTGAAGAAGTGTCCATCTCTAACTGTCCCTTTGAGAAGAGTGGCTTGAGTTGTTTGATCCCTGACAAGACAAGAGGAAGGATGGAATTCAAAAAGCACATTATTATCAAAAGCAAATTTGGACACACTGATCAGATTTTTGGTAATACAAGGTACATGCAACAGTTCCTTTAGAAGAAAAGCTTTACTACTATTTAAAGGCTTGAGCAAAGTGTTACCAATATGATTGATGGGAACTCCTATTCCATTGCCAATCTGAAGTCGATTTTGTCCACTGTACTCAGAAGCAATGCTCATGTTTCCAAGTTCATTAGTCATATGCACTGAAACACCAGAGTCAGGGTACCATATGCTTTCATTCCCATAGTCTGATGCGGCACTAGAACCAGCATACTGAGTGAGATTGTGAGAAAGGTTTCTGTTTCCAAATGGCTGTTGTTACTGCTGTTCTGTTGTTGTTTAGGAGTGTAGTTCTGATCATATCAGCCAACATCGTTTTGCAGTACGGCCTGAAACTTTGCAAACTTGACACACTGACCTATTGCCTTGAAACTTGCCTCCTCTTCTTCTATTTTCTCTACCACCAGATCTGCCACCTCTATTGTTAGAGAAACCTCTGAATCCTCCTCTTCCTATTTCATTTGCATTGTTCCTCCTTTGTGGGAACTGAGTTGTGGCATTAACTGATGGTTGAGATCCTTCAACGTAGGCATTTGGCACCAGTTTGTTGTTAAGCTCTATTCTTCCGTCATAACTCAACAATTGAGCTTGTACTTTAGTGACTATGTAAGGCTCCAATTGGATGTTAGTGAGACCATCACCTAGTCATACTCAGTTCCCAAACCACTTAGAATGTGAATAATCTTATCTCTTTCAAGCACTGGTTGTCCTGCTGAAGCTAGATACTCAAAGCAGGTCTTCATTTCATTCAAGTACTTGGGCATAGTGAGATTGTTCTTCTTAAGACCTTGGAGTTGCATCTTATATTCCACCAGTTTAGCCGTGGTTTGGCTAGAGAAGTTTGTTTCAAGTGATTTCCATATCTCTCTTGCAGTATTAAGCCCAACAGTTTGAATCAACACGGTTTCACTCAAAGATGACAACAACCAAGATGCAAGAAGCTGATCTTGCTTTTGCCAAAGAGGAAAATCTGGGTTTATTACCTGATGTTGTGTGTCTGAACTTAGAGTGTACTGAGACGGTGGAGCAGCATCGACTCATTGAAAAACTTCTCTAGACCATAACCTCTAATGGTCGTCAATACTTGTTTCCAGATCAAACGGTTTCCTTCATCCAGTTTTGTAGAAATCAACTGGCTTTGAGGAAAGATGAGTGGTGTTTGGGTGGTAGGTGAAGGATTTTGAATTTCATGACTAGATACAGTACTTGACTGACTCATCTCTGCAATAGTTATTAAGGAATCTTGTTTGTTGGCTAAAAAATGGATCAGTCACGGGTTGTTACACCCGCTCTAATACCATGAAAGGAAAGCAAACAAAACGCAGCTAGCATGGGAAAGATAAATCGCCATAATTTTCTCTTAGTTTTCACTGAACAAGCAACATACTGCGGCTAGGTTATTACAGAGCATTTATATGAACCAGACAAGACATCCCTCAGCTCACAATACTCTCAACCACCAGATTATTACACGTGCTATCATCCTGATACATATGCATGGGGCCACAGTAACCAAGGGATGATTGGTCCTTTACCATGCATGTTTCCTTATTGTCCAACAAGGCTATGAGATCTTTGTCTTAGACATGAGGAAGGAGTGCAACGTTTAACAAGGATGCAACAAAGCTTTGCAACTCAGGGAGCACTTGGAAGTTGACTGCCAATGTGAAAAGATTCCCCTGCATGAAGACAGAAACTCCATGACAAGCTGTGACCAAGCTTCAATCCTAGGTTTAAGGTTTGATGGTAATGAATGAATATCTTACCAAGATGAATGTTCTTTGTCTGGCTTCATTCATTGCTCACATGCTATCTTTTTCCTTTTCGATTATTTTTAATTATTAATTTTATAACTTAAATATTTGTGAAACATTTTATTAATATGTAACGTATAGGTAACATATTTTCAGAGAAGATATGATATTTAATAGAATACTCAAGGCTTGTTTCCATAAAAATATATCTGCTCGAATTGAGTTTTTTTATTAATTATGGCTAATTTTTAAAAAAAGTGGTGTATTTAGTTATTAGTGAGATTTTGAATATATATTAAAATAGTATTTAAAATAAAATATTTAAAGTTGATTTGATGTAAAAGTATGAGAGAAATGATATGAAGTGAGAGTTAGTTAAAATTATGTGGGTGACTGAATAGTGAATTAAAGTTGATGTGATGTGTAAAAATATTTGTTAATATTATTTAATTATATTGATAATATTGAGGATAATTTAGTTGAATTAGACTTTAAGTATGAATTGAGTATAGATAATTAGATTATTTTATATACAAACAAACCCTTAAAATTTCTAAACAAAATAGTAAATGTTTGGCAGAATTTTTTTTGAAAAGTTAACTACTCTTTAATAATATGAAGATTATTTGTTTATTATTATCTTTCTTGAGATAATGTGTTTATTACTGGAAAACAAAAAACACGTTAGATCATGAACTTCTCTCATCTCCCAGATATACATCACAATTATTCACAAATTGTAGACGAGAATAGTCACTTTATTCAGTTATATTTTTGTGTTAATTAATAGTTTTTTCTTATCATTAGCTCATGTATCTTATAGCTCTCCCCAAACAATAAAATTCAGTAGTCAATGTCAGTGCGAAATACACAATAGGACAACTTTAGGCTTATTTTTATCGGTCACCCAAATGTTGGGTCACCTCCACAACACACACACACACACAAAAAAGAAAAATTAATAATAATAATAATAATAAAACAATAAAAAAGGAAGAGAGTCATCAACTTTAGCGACACAATCGCAACCTATATTTTGTATGAGAATGGGACATTTATTTATTTTTATTGGATAAATATATTTTTTTATTCAAAAAAAGTAAGAAAATGTTAAAATTTATTTTTTACATTCTCTACAAATAGAGACCACACTTTATAAGTTTTGGAATAAATTACAATTTTTAAATAAATTTTAAAAAATAAATATTTAGATTGAGTTGAATTGGGAATAAAGATAAATTGGGGTGTAAAGTTGAGTTGTGTTGGGTTGGGTTGAGAATAAGGATAGTCACCGGAGGAATATTATTTCCGCAAACTATAAAATTTAACAAACAATATAATTCATTGAGTCATTGTAAGTGAAGAACACTATAGAACAATTTTAAGCAGGGATGTTATTGATTTATTTTTATATTTTATTTTTAACAAAAGAAGAGTTTTCTAATTATAAATCATTTTGGATTTTTTAGTAGAATGTACAGCAAGCTCTGTGATTTAAATGCTAGGATATTTGTTGACAATTGCTAATGGTGACATGGGAATCATGTTAATAGCCTTCAGTTAGTCTTTAGGGTGGTATCTACTGTTGATTCAGATTCATAATTAAGAGTCCGTACAAGTCAATGGTTCAATTTCTTATAATCTAGTAATAATGAGCATATCAAAGGAGTGGAGACATATAGATTTATCATTTTCTACGCAGCACAAGAGGATCATATTAGGTGTCATACGACGAGTGTTATAATCATTTATGGCATTCGTAGGAATTACTGAAGAATATATACAATCAATTGATTGCCAACGGAGTAAAAAATGATCAAATGACAACTAATGACAGAGATATTTCATCTATGTCATACATACAGAAGAACGAACGATCATATATCATTATGGTATTTCAATGTTTGATGACACAAAAAGATAAGAGATGACATGATAGAGAAGGTCAAAAGATAAGACATCCAGGCTTCAAAAGATTTTGATTCAATTAAGTACAATGTAGAGCTTAGTTGTTAATGAGGTAAGATTAGTAATAAACAAAACTGAGCAAAATAAAAGAATTGGGATATAGGGCACATTAATTAATTAATATTGAAAGTAATAAAGAAGAGAAGAAGTATTGTTAATTACCAGGAAGTTTGGTAGAGATTGGCATGCATTAGGAGGAAGAGCGGAGCCAACGAGGCCCCGTCTTGATTGTCGGTGAAGAACTCGCAGACGGGTCCCAATGAGTAGTGCCGCTCGTTATTTGTGTGGCGGCACTTGACGACAGAGTAGCTGGCGAGAAGTCGGAGGATCCTATCAATCATTAGGTGGGCTTCGGAGTTGGCTGGGGCCACCTTGGCTGCCAGCTCCGATGCAGAAACGAACCCCGCTAATTGCTTCATCAGCTCAAACAAGTTGAGCTCTATGGCGCATTTCACGGCAGCCGGGAATGCACTGCATGCTGCAATATGCGTCGCCAGTAGATGGGCATCGTCTTCATTCACTACTGCTGAATAATCCATTGTTGCCTTGCCCACAAATTATATTTCTTTCTTTTTTATAATGGAGCAATTCTTTTCATCAGCTTATATTTATATTTATTTATATATATGTGCCCATATGCGTTGATAGCAGCAGTGATTGAGATAACAATCAATGTTCAGCTGATGGGGGGGCCGCAAGGCACATGCCCTATAAGGAAATGATATTTGTAAAAACAAACCTCAGCTTTGTTTGCTATTCTAAGAGCATTTTTAACATCTACAACTTCATAATTACTCTTATATTCATAAATTTTCAATAATAATAAACCTCATAAATTTTCTTTTTACGGGTCCCACATATTTCTTACTTACTTTTAATTAATATTATACTCTTAAATTTTTATTAATATTTTAAAACTATACCTCTATTTTTATTTTTATTCAATCTAAATGTTTCATATATTTAGTGAATCGCTAACGCTTCCCCCTTTTTTACTATCTACAGCCCCCTTTGACCGTTTTGACCCCATCATAATATTGTCTAACTTTCAAAAAATTTCCAGTCACTCCTAACCCNATGGCAAATTGTAATCATGGCAAAGGCAAAAGTCCCATGATTCCTCCGCTATTTTTTTTTTCGTTTAGTAAAAAATTTTAAAAAACTTTTGAAGTTTCTGCCAGCCGACGATCGCAGTAGACCGCAGGTGTAATCCGTTTTCAAAGACGGTCGGCCGCGATCGCCGACTAACCGACCGACGTCCGTCTCGCCCGACTTTAACCGGTGGCCAGCCGCCGGTCGATATTTTCGCACGGTAGCCTGACCGTGCGGTTTCGCCGGCTGACCGCCGGCAAATTTGGATTTTGTTTCGTTTTTTTTATTTTTTTTAATAATTGAAATTATTTAAATATGTTTAAATATTTTAAATATTTAAATATTTAAAAATAAATTGAATTAATCTTTTGATTTAGGCTTATTTAAATAAATTTTGATTTAGTAGTTATTAATACTACATTACTTATAAATAATATATCACATATATTAATTAAATGTAATTATATTAAAATTATGATATAATAATTTTTAATATTACTAATTATTAATAGGATTGATGGGTCTACTTCCAGATCTGAAGTGAAGCGGTGGTTGTGAGCTCCGATCTGTTTGAACCGCCTCCTAATCGCTCCTAGACCGCAACAACACCTGCAAGAACTGCTCTGAGAGAGCAGATGCAGCCAGAGGAATGGGAAGTGTATGAAATGAATAGGGGTTAGGGTTTAGGGTTACCTCAATCCCCTTATATAAGAGGAAACACTTACATGGAATAACCAAAATGCCCTAATCGACTTACCTGAAGTGTCCAAAATGCTCCGGTCGGTTCGTCTTCTAGCTACCTTCTAGTCAGCTCAAGATTCCTTCTTATCCAATCAAGATTCTCCTTTATTTATGAGACCTGTTGGGAGACAATGCAAGTGTCTCGAGTCGTCAGTATGCTTTGATCCTCGAGGTACAGGGAGTCGACCTCAAGCATCGGGAGGTCAACTTAGGATCCTTCAAGAATATGTTCGGAGGCTACGCTTGTTCATCTTCTTGGTGGAGGTCGACTTGTGATGTCGACTTTAATAAAATCGACATCTTCCTTTAAATGATCATGAAGAGATGTCGACCATCGGGTGGTCGACTTAAGTGTGTCGACTTAGGGGTGTCAACGTGCGGACGGTTCGACTCGCCCTCTCGGTCGAGTAATAGGTACTTGAACCGGTATATTCTAATTTGGTTATATCAAGGATAATGCATCTAACTTTATTATTTTCGGGAAGCGAATTAGTTGTAATAAATGTAATAAAATGGTTTATTGAGTAATTATTAGTTTTAAAAATTATAATTAGTATTCGAATATAAGTTCAAAAATTTGTATAATTTTATTCATTAATTAGTTTGTATAATTATATACTCAAAAAGTGAAATTATATTAATTTTGTTGTTATGAATAAATATTATTTAATTTTTAATACTTTTAAAGATTATATTATATATATTAGTTAAATATAAACATATGAAATTATTTTAATAAGAAATGAAATTTAACTATAACAAAATAAATATGTATTCATAGGATAATGCATCTAACTTATATTACTTTTAGGAAAATAATTACTTGCAATATTTAATAATGTATTTGAATTAAATATTTATTTACTATATGCATTAGTTAATAGGTAATTCCTATTAAACCATTATTACTATTTAATATTTTAGGAAATAATAATAATTAATAATAGTAATTATGATTAGTTTGCGTAAATATTAGTAAAAATTAGTTAATTGTAATTATTTTATAATAACTAATAAAATATATAAATTAAAAAATGTTGTTTACAAATTATTAGTTTAAATTATTGATTTAGACTGGTGGTAGACCTGCGCGACCGGCCACCGATACAAAGGATATCGAATTTATTGATTATGGACCCCACACACTAGGAGTCGATATGTGGATGCTTCCGCTCGTTGGGCGAGAGACGTTGAGATGTACCGTCAGATTCGCCTGAGACAAACTGGTCACGCTGACCAGTCTTTGCACGAGTAGTAGTTTGGAGATTTCAGGTTGGTGCTTCGAGACGCCTTACTTTGGTACATATCGGTTTTAGAGTTCAGCAGTCCCACTTTGAGAACAGGATGATTATAAGGAGTCTCATTTCGAGAGGCTGCATTTCTCAATGAATTATAAGGACTTTGAGACTTGAGATTACTAAGACCTCCGTCCCCCACGACCGAATCCTGCACGACCTGCTCCTCCACGTGTTAGGGGCCATTTTGCGAGCACTATATCCACTGGTAAATAATTTACGTACTTATTGTTGTTTACCATTATATATTTTTATTTAATAATAACATATCATTGATACAGTCAGTCAAAATATATCACATATATATATATATATATATATTCTATTATAATGTCAGGTAGTAGCAAATGATCTAGAAGTCTACCAGTGGAAGACTGGATCATTTCAAGCCCAGTGCCCGGTGGCCCACTTGATGGGAGTGTTCTCCCTAACTTTCTAGGGCACGTAGCCTCTCGTATATGGAGTGGAGAGTTTAGAGGCATACTTAAATACCAGAATAGACAGGGAGCGCATGAGAAGTTGTCTCTCTATTATGCTTGACGCTGACGCGATTTGATAGGTTGGACCGGGCTGTCACATGTGGTGGATTCCATGCATACTCATGTGGATAATCCACTTATTTCTGCATTTGTTGAGCACTAGCAGTCTGATACTAACTCATTTCATATGCCATTTTGTGAAATGAGTATCATGCTTCACGATGTTTGGGAGATTTTGGGGGTTCGTGTAGAGGGAGAGACAGTTACAAAGGACCCCGACACTAGCTCTTGCCAGTGTTACTGCATGAGATGTTGCAGCTCAAGAAAACTCAGTTGATGCAGTCTTTCTAGCAGCATGGTGGGGTGATAATTTCCTCGATATAGCAGCACTTGAGGGGACAACTCGATCGCTTGTGGATCAGGCTACTGTCTGGATGTGGATGCTGTTAGGTACCACCTTGTTTGTTAACAGGAGTGGTAGCAAGGTGAGACCCAAATTCTTACTTGAGATCATTGAGGACTTGGATAGTGTTCAGACTTATTCCTAGGGCTCAAGTGCACTGGCTTACCTGTATAGACAGTTAGGTATTTCTAGCAGATGTAACGCGCAGTGACTTTCTGGCTGCTTGACTATTATGTAGTCTTGGATATATGCATTGTAACGGCCCGAACATTTTTAGCATTTATGAGCTCGACTTTAGTTCTATTAATAGCAAGTTTTATTTATTTCAAGCCTTAGTTTATTTGATGCATTAATTTATATTATTTTCATTAAATTGAGTAATAAATTCTAAGTCTAAGCCATGAAGGACCTGTTCGATTTTAATTTCTAAAATCAAAATTTTCTACCCTAAGTATCGATTTCATTTTTAATAACTGAGCGTTAGAAAAATCGAGAAATATTTCTTTTATAAGGTTCGAAGCCCGGGTCAGCCAAGCCTCGGCCCAAACCCTACTTGCCGCGACCCAAGGCCCATATAGCCGGCCCAAAATCCTTAGCCTCACTGCCCAACCAAGGACCAATTGCCGAGAGCAAATCTGAGCCCAACTTTTGCTTTATTATAAATCCAACTCTCATTTATATTATACTAGTACGATACCCGTGTAATACACGGGTTGTTTGAAAAAAATATATAAAATATAAAATAATAGAAAAAACACATGTTGTATAAAATTTCAAACATGTTAATAAATTCAAGTTTAACATCCATGAAAATATTTTTACCATATTTTCTAAATATTTATACAAATATTTCAAAATAATTCATATATAGAAAAGTAAGACTTTTTTTATTGAACTGTAACAACTATTCATGAATATATATTTGCACGAATATTGCTAGGTCGATGCAATATTGTCATGAATAGTGTATATTTTTAATGTGCACGAATTCATATTTTTAAATATTTATTTTGATTTTGTAACTGCAGCTTATAAAGTGCACGGGTAAGATATATTCATCTCCCCTTAATATAATTTCAAAAGTGTTGAGCCTAAATGGCTAGCTCGCACGCTTCAGAAGCTTACTTGAAAATAAATTATATTTATCTTTATAACAATAATAATTTTTTTAATATTAATTAGTAAAATAAAATTATTTATCAATTACTATATTTATAAACAAAAGGTAATTCATTAGAAACATCATTTTTTTATTATTAATAAAGGGCTCGAGCTATTATGTTAAATATGTATTGAAAAAAGTGGTTTCGGGGGTTAAACCGTACGACGTCTCTTTAAAAGTGCTATCATATACAATCTTGTCGATAAAAAATCCTATTTATTAAGTATTTTATTTTAAGCAATTAGGGAATGTAATTATAGTATGTCTGAACGTATTTATTTTAGAATATAATTGTATCATGTAATATTGCCAAGTAAGCTTCATATCCATTTAGGCTCAGCACGTTTTGAAATTATATTTAGATTAGAAATATATTTAGAATGTTCATCGATATTTATTTTATTTATATTTCAACTCTTTAAAATATATTCGAAAGATCATGTAATATTCTATAACTATTTCAATTTATTTTTATAGATATTCTAAAAAGATTTAAATAATTAATTTACCATGGAGTTCATCGTAATTTATTTTATTTTTATTTCTACTCTTTAAAATATATTAGAATGATCATGTAATATTCTATAACTATTTCAATATATTTTATTTTGGTATTTTCTGAATTACGTCTAAATTTTTTATTATAATATTAAGCAAAAAATCCTATTTACACAGCATGTAAGATAAGAATCCTATTTATTTTAGAGTTGAAGGGGATCGGATTAAGCAAAAATTCTATTTATTAAGTATTTTATTTTAAACAATTAAGGAATGTATCCGAACCAAAAGCCGAAGCATGTAATGTCGCCAAGTAAGCTTCCGAAGCGTGCGAAACAGCCATTTAGGCTCAACACGTTTTGAAATTATATTAACAGGGGATGACCCAATTTCCTTTAAGCCTCATTTATATTATATATGCCCAAGTCTTGAATTAATGTTGACCAAGTCTTCAAAAAAATTAAAATGCAAGACCACTAATTCCTACCTAACATTGGTGTATGAAGGGGGACAAGACTAGTCAAAAAGCATAAGAGGCCAAAATTCCCCAACTACCTTCTCCCCCAAACCCTAATTCCTCGTAAGTCTATATAGATGAGCTCTCATTCTCCCTCTTCATTTTTCCTCTTCATTTCCTAAGCTAGAGCAAAAAATGCCTTAGTTTTAAAATTTTGTTCTAGTCCATATACATATAAAATCCCTAGCTTTAACCCTAGTAGAACCGAGCCCTAACTATATGTACATGTTTGGCCCTTGAACCACCGGAACCTTGCCGTTGTTGCGCCTACACTACAAGAAATCTGTTGAACAGTGACGAAAATTCATGTGACGAAAAATAAATTGTCACCGTATGTTGCCTTACGGTGACGAATTTAATAAATCGTCATTACACCATTGCATACGACGACGACTCCTATATTCGTCATGTTAGACTTCTTTTTTCGTCACATAATGGAGTTTTTCATGACAATGCAACTCAATTCGTCACATATACATTTAAATTCGTCACATGTATATAAAATGTGACGAAATTAAATGTGACAATCAAACTATCGTCACTGTTGATGTTATTTAAAATGACGCTTGCGACAAATTCGTCATTATATAATTATTTATTGTGACGATACATTATAATACATCTAAATTCGTCACAGTAATACGTATTGTGACGAAATTCACTACGACGAAAACAAATTCGTTGTTTTTCTTCGTATTTGAAATGACGCTTGCAAAAAATTCGTCATTATATAATTTTGTTTTGTGACGATAAACTATAAAACAACTAAATTCGTCATATTAATACATATTATGACGAAAGTCACTGTGACGAATCAAAATCGTTGTGTTTTTTTTTTTGTGTAAAAAATGACGCATATGTATAATTCGTCATCATACAAATTTCATTTGTGACAATATGGTATAATGCATCTATATTCGTCACAATAATACATATCGTGACGAAATTCACTGTGACGATAAAAATCGTTGATTTTTATTTGTATTTAAAATGACGCTCACATATAATTCGTCATTATGTAACTTTGCTTTGTGACAAATTTGTGTCAAAAGTGGTTTAGTAACAATCACAAAATTTATATTCGTCATTAAAATATGCCCTTTTATAACGTCTTCGACTTTTGTCACTAATATCTTATATTGTGTTACGACATCATTTGTCATTAAAATATGCCCTTTTACTCGAGAAATGAATGACAAACATATAAAAGAAAAGCAAGATCGAATTCAATTTCTACAACTCAAGTCAAATAAAATCACTAAACTCAGGTTTTTGCACAAGAATCATCAACAGAAACTGGAAAACAAGAGATCTACTCATAATGCATAAGAATGAGAAATACAAGAACTCGCTCCTTAACACCCAAGAAGTTAGCATAATAACATGAATAGCCTGCAGCTACACCTAAGAGAGAGTTAAAAAAAAAAAATACAGTAAAAGGATAATCCTTGATAAGCAAAACATTCTACGTCCTCAGTTACTAGAACAAACCTCTTCATCCTCTCTCCTTTTTCTTACAGTAATAGTAGCAATATACTTTGGCTCTTCCCATATACTTTTATCAAACAAAGACAAAAGGAAAAAAAAAAGAAAAAAGGTTCTCCATGACCTCAAGCACAAACTATATTTACTAAGAGTTGAGAATTAGATACCCTTCTCCCACAACATGAACTTGATTGTCAATCACCATCTTGTTTACAAGCAAATGAACCTTATCCCTTGCTCGAACACTCGACTATAAATTACAAGTTTCAGTTGAAACCCAAGAAGGACTGTAATCATGAAATGAGTTTTCTGGATTTAGATCTCTTGATAGCCCTGAACATGATGCAGTTTCGTAGTAACATTCTTCCCATATTTAAAGCCTGCAAAAGAAAATCACGCTGAAATCTCGGATTCGACATTATCGAATCTTTTTTAAAGTAAAGGTAACAATAATAGATAATTAATAGAAAGAGGTACAAAAGGGATGCAACCAAGAAGTACAACATAAGCATTCAACATATGTTCAGAGGAAATCTATCACATTTGAAAGGGTTTCATCATCTGGAAACAACTCCAATACTTCTACTGAGATTTTTAAAGACAAATAAAAACCGACCCACACGAAAACTCCAAATTCAAAGTAAGTGAAAGCTTCACTTATCAAATCATGGAGCGAAGGAGGAAAAGACAACCATATCCAGTAAATCTGTAAATTATCAAACATATATTGTTAAAAGACAAATTAGGGAACTTTAACCAGATATTGTCAGATGATTAATCATATAGTTACAGATCAAAGGAGCAACAGTACTCTAAATTAGTCAAAATCTAAAGAAATTTTCACAAAAATATATAAAAAAGCAATTCAACAGAAAATTTTCATCTTCTTGGAAACATTGGGCGGTTTCAAAAAACAAAAAAAATCTCCAAAAGAAATGCTAGGATTAAAGTCATGTGTTCCACTTTTCCCTTATCAACCTTAATTAAACTTTTAAAGGGCAAGCAAAAACTACAAACCAAAAAGGCGAATTCTAAGGGTAAATAAAGACATAAGCATGGAGAAGCAACTTACATAGAAGCATAACATACTAAAGTGATAATCATAAAAACAGCCTGTGTTTATTGTAGAAATTGAATGAAACTATCTCTTTAGCGGTTCAAATTGTATAGAACAGAGAAATATCAAAAAGTACTTGTGTTTTCGAAAGATAACTGGGTTCCTTTTGTAATTAAGTCAAATCTTTGGGATAATGTTGGAATAGTAAATGAGAAAACGAAATAGTAGAAGCACAAACCGAGGAAATTAATCCTGTTTTGCCACTCTGAAGCAGTGCACCAGCCGCGTAACCCAAAGCATAGCAGTAAGTGGCATCAAAGTTAGAAGGTAAACCACATCTCCCCTCATATCTGACAGATCAAAATCGAAATTAAAAATGTGAAGTATCGTTTGGTTAAGAGATATATAGCGAATACAGTAAAAATCCGATAAAGGCAAAGTGAAAAAAAAAAGGTACCCAAAAAAGTGAGACTGTCCCTTGAATTGACCTTTGTAAGCGGACATCTGCTTCCTTGCCTCCAACTCAGTTTCAACCATTTGAATAAGCATTTTCTCGGTTTCAATTTTCGCAACCTACACACAAAAGTAATGACTTATAACACCAAATAATCACATAGAAATGTCAAAATTAATTGTGCTTAAATCACCATTCTTTACCACATTTGGACATATATTTTGTTTATTTAACAGTACATAGATAAAAAAAAAAAAAATATATTAAAATTTTAATACTCCCTCCATCCCATAAAGATGAGCCTGGACTTATGACAATTTCTACACAGTTTAGCATGACAAAATCTTTGTTGCTGGGAAGTAAAAACCAAATGTGTACCCTCTAAACTAATTATCATAATTTTCTATGATTCTATTTATTGGAACTTAAACATTATAAATACTCCATTTACAGTAGCATACGTTGTGGGACACCCAAAATAGCAATGTGACTCATCATTGTAACGTGGAGGGAGTATTACTATTACATACTAATTGATTTATATGTAAATACATCATTCGAATATGAACAAAATATTGCATTCTCAAAATATAAGAATTCAAATTCGGATTTCCTGTGTACAAATTATCTGGACATTCCCGTGAGGATCTCTCTCGAGCATTAATTGTTCCTGGATTGCTGGTGGTAGAAAATCAAAAAGCTCCAGACACTGGGGGCTAAGCTTCTTTTTCCAGACCCCAGCCTCATCCACAACTTCATGAGCCAAAATCTCGTTTAGTTCTGCAATTAGCTGCTGAACCTGAAAATATAATCAAGTAATAGAATAGGAAATGAGAATATATGTCCATAAGGAAGTAACATAAAAATTTTGTTTTTCACGAAAAATTGATTATAGCAAAGTAGGATGATTATTAGCAAAAGCTGTATAGAGCTACAGAAATGTTACAAAAAGAAAACATATAATATAAATGTAATGAAAAATAGTTGAACCTCAGGAATAAAATCAATGAGTCCTTCCGGTATAAGTATGACACCATAGTTGTAACCGACATCAGCACGTTTGCACATGACATCAGCAATGTAGTCTGTGACATTCTTAAGGGTTTGCTTCTTGGCTGCAACCTGTAGCGCAATTGAATTTGTCAGTGGATTTTTTTTTTTTTTTTGGCCATGTTTTGCCACCAAAACCTTTAATGTAAGTTGATTTCAATATTTATTAGATATGCAATAAGCTTCTACAAATGACCCCATTTTCAACCTCAAACCTCAAATTTGATTGTACATCTTATATGAATACCATAGAACAACTAAGGAATGAACAATAACTATCCGATCAATGCTGATAACTAGGAATTTTCACAGATAAATTTATACATTAGCCCAGCGATTAAATAGCAGCGCCATGAGACGCAATGGCGCGAGGCGTGGCGAGTTAACCCCTTGATACATAAAAAAACAGAGTATGTTAGTTAGATGAGGATTTTCCAGCAAACTTAAATTCCATATATACATATAAGTGAACTCAAGGTTTGCTATGGGAGATAAAAAAATTGCTAAATTGTCAAAGTATACTACACGAATTGAAAAAAAATTGCTAAATTGTCAAAGTATACTACACGAATTGAAAAATTACCTTGTGCCTTTTCTTCTACCGGGGACGGCGACCAACCTACGGCAGATAACTGGCTACGGCGAGGGCGAGTGTTATGTCTTTCTATTTTTCTTATCTTTTTCGTTTTTATTTTTTCCCTTCTTGCTTCAGTCCTTCTCAACCGGTGACGGCGCGGGTTGTGGGAGTTATCTGTTCCGGTTAAACTCCCGTCGCTGGTGAATACTCTGTGTTGTGACCGGAGTGCGAATTCTCGTTTGTAAGTGCGGCTATGTTTTGGTTGGGAACGAATTCTTGTGTTGTGTTTGTACTGTATAAGTGTGTTAGATACTTAGATTAATTAAGAGACTTTGAATTTTAATCCAATTAGGGATTTTCAATTAAGTGTTAGAGATTTTCAAGAAATTCAATTAATAGTTAGCGACTGAACCGACCTTAAGGTTTTCGAGCCCGGTTCGATTTTAACATGATCGTGTTCGTGTTAGAGTAGGGTACCCGGCGTTCCAATCTAATTGGACGTATTCTACTTGTAAATACAGTCTATTGGAATTATATTATGAATAAGGCATTTCTTTATCTTAAGAGAAAGCATTTATCTTATAATTGCACTTAAGATAAAATCCCTAGATCACTTATGGTTATAAGGTATGGTTGCGCATAGAGATGGTGATCATGGAACATACCTTGAAAGC